CAGAATCTAAACATCGGATTTGGTACTCTCCTTAGGAGGCCATTCTCTCATTCCAATTGTCAAGACATTTTTGCATCTTCTTCTTCAGAACTGGCTTCAGAAACAGGTTTAGTTGCCACAGGAAAAACAGACAGTTCGTGATAACCAACTTCCTTTCTTAACAAAGGAACTATATCACTCATACTGATCAATGAATTTGCAGAATGACCTATTCATTCAACAAACATACATTGAGGGTCAGTATTGTCCTAGGCCCAGACCTCTGCTCCTAAAAACCAAACCCAAGGTTTTAAAATGCCAGCATGCAGAATATTCAAAAAGTAGGGGTCCAAGCTCAGAAGACAGTTTCAAAATAAGAGGTCTCAAAATGCTTACATACAGCAGCTTTATTAGAATATGTTTATCACCTTATATACATTCAAATATTTGAGCATTTAGAGACAAATAGACTAATTTCAAAAACCAGTTTCGTTACTAAGTAGTCACACCATATAAAAGTGTGTAGATGAAAGCATGTATACACATAAAACCAAATACACACATCTGTATATTACTAAATAGACTGTTAATACTGAAGGGGAGAGAAGTTGTGCAAATCTGTGTTGTTTAGAAGAAAAAGAGGACCAGAGAGAAATAAAAGTAGTTTATTAAAATATAGACCTGTCCCTAATACTTTTAAAATAATCAAGACAAATAATCCTTAATCACTTGTCTTTTTCACTACCATAGGTTTAACTGGGTGCAAACTAATGAAAAATACAAAAGCTCAAAACAATAACTATTGGTTCACATTTTAAAACTGAGATTGCTATAGAACCCATGCGTCCACTTCCTAATAGCTGTTTGCATTACGGAAATTCAGAGAAAAGTAAATACAGGTACTGTATGGCATCCACAGCCCCTCTAGCTACACACACACCCATTTTGCCAATTACAGCCCTAGTGTTGCTGAACGGCTCTCAACACCAAAACAAGTACTTTCTCTTAAGAAGAAAAAAGAGAAAATTTGATACCTCTACTTCTCAGGCTTAAGCATTCAGTAGGAATAATAACCACCATCCCACCACTACTTAGGGAGTATTGAATCCATGCCAAGTACAGTATGAGCCCATTTATTCCTCACAGCAACAGGAGCAGTCACATGGGAGAAGACAAGAGACAGAAGAGGTAGTAAGGACCACAGGGTGTGGAGAAGGCTGGTGTCGGGGTATGTAGACATCCAGTGCGGAGAAGCGCAAGTAGCAAAGAAAGAAAATTCTTTGTGCAGCCAGCCAAGATTCATGTGCTTCAGCAGCCCCCAAAAGCAGAGGGTGCTGACCATCCTGGGGTACAGATGGACCCCAAGCCCATCAAGGGCAGAACTTCACTGCTAGGTCAAGTTAGGTCACAACAACAGAAAGGGATGAAGTCACTACAATAAGGTTATACAAGTGGAAGGACAGGGGTGGGTGTGTTAAAGACCACCCTCCCATATGGATTTCAAATTGTCCCAAACAATGAAGTGCAAAGTATGTAAAAACTTCTTAATGAAACTAAAAGAGGAAGTGGGCAACTGCATATGATTTCAAAATAATGATCACAGGAAAAAGAAAACGAACCAGCACACATTGAAGCTAGTCACCTTGGATGACAGCAAGCTCACAAAAACGCAGCTGTTCAAATAATTTTACAGATTCTGTGTCACTGAAGAAACAAAGTCAGTGTCATATGATGCACCTGCATAAATTAGAGCCCCCGGACCATGTTCTGTCAGTGTTTGTTGATAAAAAGATGTCAAAGGGCCCTCTCTCTAACCTAAATGCCCACTGAAAAGAAAAAAGATTCTTTGCAAGTGAATCTGTTGACTGAGCCGTGGGTGTTTTCATCAACTGAGTTGGACCTTAGAGACCTTACAAAAAGCCTTTGACAAGAGCACATCTTAGCCTTCCTGGACAGAGTTTCTCATCTGCAAATGAAGGATGTCACCAACTGACACCTTCCTACACGGTTACTTGGAAAGGTTAATGAAATGCTGGTGTCTGGGCACCGTGAGGATAATACTAACATTTTAAGTCAGCCCTAAAACCCTTTCATCCTCTGGCCTTTGGGAAGGGCCAAACAGAAACACTCGCCACATTTTGCTTGGCCCCCAAGCTATAGCTCACTGAACAAGAGCAGTAATAGATCTTTTCAGGTTTTTTTCTTAAAACCAGTATCAGTTAGGTAAGGAAATTGCTTCACGGTGAAGTTCTAACATCTACCACCCACACTCAGATCACAACGATCTGCCCTAAAAGAGAGTGAATGCCTGCTGAGAGATACAATGTTGACTATATACCTCCCCAAACCATATTTATAAGAATCCTTTGATGGCGCTGTGGCTTCCTCATTTCTAGAACCATCCCAACAACAATGAATGACCACTTAAACTTTTAGCATTCACTCAGTCCCCAATAGGAATGAATTGTGGTATAAACTAAAACTATGCCAAGTTAAGTTTTTAGGGAAAAAAAGTTATTAGTGTAGCTAAAAGTTAAGCACTTTTGTTTTAAAATGAAAAATTAACTAAAATGGCAGGCATAACAAAACATAAATCCTGACTTGTACATTTCTATTTAACAGCTTCAAAACCCAATCTGGAGCATTCATTGATCAGTGGAGTAAGGGAAGAGAATTCTAATAAATGCCTAATACTGTGGCGCATTATTGCTGTGTTACACAATTGTCAACTTCAGACTCTCACCCCCAGTCAGCAAATCTCTGTTGAACACTGAACCTAGTATGATCCTGTTCAAAGTTATTCAAAATGTATCCTGGCCTCCCTTCAAGAAATTTACATCTAGAAAGCACTTACCCTGTACCTAACTTTCATCTCAGAAATGATCATTGAAGTGCGAAGGCTTAGTCAACCTGAAATTTCCTTTTACAGTCTTAGTTCCTCCTGCACAAACCCAAGGGAGTAGAGAAACTTTAATAACCTGAACACCTTTCCTACATGTAGGACCATAACCCTGAGTCTGAAAGAAAAGAATCACAAACAAACAGACCAGACTGCACAAGAGATTGATCAGAACAATGTTTTTAAGACTGCATGAGAAAAACAGAAATATAACTGTAGTCACATGAGCCTCAATGCAAAGAAAAATAGTTTCAAGATAACGAGAAGAAGAATAACTCGGACGTGGTTTTAAGTCATTCAGATCCTGAGCTTCCTGTGCTATTTTCATGATAAACTATTAAAATAATCTCCAAAGTACCACTTCCAAATATAAAGATGAGGAATCTCCAGATTTAAGGAGGCACTGGTGAAGGAAAGACATTACTGGAAAGTAACGTACACTTCATTGCCAACAAAAAAATTAGTGAACAATTCCTCCTTGTGCTCATAAAAGCATTTCTAGGCAAAAATCTTCCAAATGCATTCATTGGTTTGCCGGGGTACCTTCAAGCATCGACTGTGCTGCAGAGTACCTGGTTAACTGGAGGATGAGGTTGTTAACACCTCACACTGATTCATGAATAGCTGTTGGTGAGAATACGGGTGGGCCCCTAGCATCACAGCCACCTTCTTTTATATGTATGATTCATATGCATGATTTATTTCTTATAAATATTTTCATTTTTCTTTAAATCCTCATCCCCTCAAACAAGCAGACAAAAAAAGAGGCATGAAGGAGAAGAAGAGTCCCTCCAAAGGCCAGGGCGTGTTCTGGTTCTGGAACAAGACAGCCTGGCCTCACTCGCGGGGTGAGCTCAGAGGTCACTTGAAGCCCTCTTGATGCTGGCCCTGATATGGGTCCCCTACAGTAAACCCAGCATACGTGGGGTTAAAACCAAAAGCACTCATCCCCTTTCCCTGCTTCTCTAAGTTACATTCATCCATAAACATCAGTTTTTTAAACCCTTGTATCCCTGAACTTCACAAGGCAAACAGAAGTTACAAGTTATTAAAAGCCCAGGTGGCCTCATGCTGGGCTCATACTGAAGTTTTGGCTAATTACGGTTCCTTGAGGTTTGTTACAGGGAAACCGATATCCAGAGAATATCAAGAAGCTGAAGCTTCCCAGACCTCAGCTCCTCGGTTTCCTGGCCCCAAAATGCAACACCTATCACGGAGGCAGACAACCAAGGACATCCACCTGTGGATTCTCTTATCTCTCCATCCTCCTCCTGCAAGCAGCCTCACAAGGCCAAACGCAGGCTGGTGGGAAAGCACCAACCAGCAAGGCCACAGGCTTCCCTCCCTATAAGCAGCCGACTCCTCACAACCTTTAAAACCCCCTGCCTCCCATCTTTTGAGGAGACGAATTTGAGGGCTGACTCTTGTTTCCCGGATCACGTCACCCGAAATAAAAACCCTTTCCTTGACATAAGCCTGGCGTTCCAGTTTTTATTTGGACCCCCTTGTGTGGCGGGTAAAGAACCTGTGTTTCTGTCTGGTAACACTCTCAGATCCCTGTTTTTCTTTCCTATAAAACACAGAGGACAATTTTCTATGTGTGTCATAGGCTTGTTTGGAAGATTAAGTGGGATAGCACACATAAGCTCCTGGCACAGTACCCAGGCAAATGAAGCACATGAAAAACCAATAAGAGCTACCACAATTTCAAAGCTGATGCTGTCCTTGACATTTAAGACAATAACTTGTGTATAAATCGTTAGTGAAGGTGAAAATTTAGAAAAAGATTATTAGTAACTCCAGAGAAGAAAAAAAATTGTATTTTGTGTTCTTCAACTAAGAGACTTACTAATGCTCCTCTGCCTTCAGCTTAGAGAACACCACTCTTGTCTCATTACCAACGAGGAACCCATACCCGCTTCACAAACGTCTCCTGAACAGAAGGTAACTAACATCCTGGGTTCCTGGGAGAGGAACCCAGCATCATTGCCACGGAAGGCACAAGAACAAAATGTTCCTCGGCCCCAAGACATTCGGCCTCATTTGGATACTCGTCCCCAAGCCAGAATTAGATTTGATCAACAGAAGGCTTTATTTTCAAAAGATGGGGAAGGCACGGTACCTCTAATCGTTGTATGCGTCCCTTGAAAAACATAAAGAGGGAAGAATTTGGATAAGCAGCTTCTTTTCTGAGAAGAATTTCCTTTGCTTCATCCAGGCCTGCTTTGTTATCACTGCCATCCAAGGCAAAGAACGGGCGGACTACAGTATGATACCACAGCAGAGCTAGTCTAAGGGGAGAGGGAGAGAAACGGTGAGCAAAAGACTTTTATTATAGTGTTTCTACTTTTTAAAAAAATCAGCATGAGCTCACCCAATACACACTCCTTCCAAAGAGCTTACTATGCAGTCTTTAAAGAAGTAAAATCAGAGTATTTTTCCCCATTTTAATTTTACCAATATTTAGGAAACTGCAACTTGAACACAACATATAAATCAGCACATTCCCTTCCATCAGGTGAGAGAAGAATAAGGTGACAGAAACAGTGAGCTCTTCTGAGGCTTCTGGATGGATCACTGAATGTATGACTGACATAAATCTCTGAATTCTACACCTAACTCATCAAGGCACAAATTAGAAACAGTAACTGGTTACCATGAATTTATGGTCCCCTCATAACAAAAGCATTACTTTTTGCAAAAGGAAAACGTTGTTTTCTCTTGTGTTCACAAAAGTTAGGCGTAAGCCTCAGAATCTGAATTTAAATATAGGAACCACAAGCAAAATTACACTAAATTGGGTTAAAGTAACTGAGAGGACCAGATAGATGGCCCCTTCTCTGGCCTTTGAGGATGATCAATTTAAAAAACGAACAAATAAGCAAATTACTTAAAATTCTCTCACTTCAAACTCATCCCTTTGAAGAAAAAAATGCCATGATATAGTAGGTATATGAAATAGATTCATTGGGATCTGCTTTAACGAACGGACAAAAATGTTTAACCAACAAATATTTTTGTGTAAATGTGTGCTTCCAGGATAGTCATAAATTTGGTTCTCTTCTAAAGATAGGACCAATTTACATTATTAATTCAATTCATTCCTTTCTCAGAAAATAATATGAAGACATAGACAGATAAATTATCACAAATCTGTTAAGGCAAATTAATAAAGGACTACTGTGTCATTTAATGAGTTTGGGGAGGCACAAATATTTTTGAAATGAAAAATTAATGATCTTTATAATAGCTACCAACTGATTAAGAGAAAACATCCAAAGTCCTCAACTCTCAATACAATAAGATGAGTAGAAATTGAGCTAAGGATCTCTGTGATATCAAGTTTTTTTGGAAAAATTTTGACAAGTGGTGTAATGTCAAAGGACATCTAGTGTGTCTGGTAAAATTACTCAAGTTGCAAATGGTAGATATTTACCAGACTGAAAAAAAATCACATCATTTTTAATAAATGGAGATCTTTGCTCTGGATAGTTACATCAGCTTCACCACACTCCATTGTTGAAATAATTGTCATTTAAGTTTAGGCTGCACAACATAATATGACTCAATCTGGCTGAACAGCACAAAATATCCAAGCCACATATAAGAGACCAATGGACCAACCAGAATTATCAAGGAAGATTACCCCATATAAGGATATACGAATAAAAATTCTCAATGACAGAAAAGCCTTATCAAATTTGTAGCCCTTAACTCCAAAAATCAGGATCGTGAATCTCTCAGTGACTGTGGTCAAGGTCACAAAAACTGCCTATGAAATCATTTGAGGTTAAAAAACATGATCATTTTACCTGTTTAAAATATAGGACTCATGAGACTTAAGAACAGTGCCCTGTTCTCTAAAATCAGCTTATGAACACCCCCCAAAACACAGTCCTTGGTATTGCATTAAAAGACATCAGGCATGGCATCATGTCAACCAACCAAGCATTTTACCTGAAGTTTCCTTTAAAGGTTTTGATTGTTGTTTACTTACTTTCAACACTATATTATCTACCAAAGCATTGCAATACAGCTACTCACGTAGCTAAAGGGGCCTTCATGTCCTTACTTTCGCTTGCATACATCAGTGAAGAAAGCCCCTGTAGGCGGTCTCCAGGAAAACCCAGCAGGTTGATGATTTTGAGCAGGTTTGGGGGCACCATGGATATGCAAAGGTGAAAAAGGCCATATCCAAAGCTCACAGCACCTTTCAGTCTGTTTAGAGACTCCTCAGACACCCCTTCAGCCACAATGTGATTATCATTTGCAGCGTCAGAAGTCAAGGGCTCTTCAGTTAGCTTCTTCTGATACAGCTCCTGGAGGGCATTGATGTCCAGATAGCATTTATTGTAAATCTTCCAGGCTTTCCTAAGGATCCACCCACCTTTTATATATGCTATAAAGAGAAGGGAAGAAAACCATGAAAAAATAACCATTTTAAAATAATTTTCCTGTATTAATAATGAGGTTATTGAAGAAGGACCTGAAAAATCAAGCAAGATTTTTAAAAACAATAAACATTATGATCTATCCTTGCACCTTGTTTCTTCAGAGGGCATACATTCCTTAGTTGTTGTCTGTTTCCCTTTACCACACTGTATGACTACTCGGCAAGACCATGTATTTCTTTGTTTATTGTTGCGTGGAGCCCATTTTGCAGGAGCTAGGGCATAGTATACAATATCTGCTGAATGAAAGGATGAATGAATGGATGCAAGCATACAAGCATCACTTGAGCTGGACTTTTTTTCCATGAGTTCTGTGAAACATGAACCTCACCGTGTCTCTGAGCTACCATGGCACTTTCCTGATAAACCTCTTTTATAACTCTTACATTTGTCTGCCCTGTGTTTCATTCCTCTTCAAGAGCAAGTTCTAAGTCTAATTCACTGCTGAATTTATACCCAAGCACTAAGCATGGAGATTTGCCAAAAAACAAAACAAGCAAACAGAAAGGATTAATTAATATTTATTGGGTGAACAAATGGCCAGTTTATTAACAAAAAAGTTCTTAGTGTTAAATACAGAAATGCAAAGAATCCCTAATTCTTCTGTATCTAATGCCTATTGGTGGCTTAACCACACCTTATCAGGATGGCTTTATTTGGTCTATGACAATGGTCAAACTGTCACGCTGCCCCAGCCTAGAGAGATCCAGCAAAGGAAGGTGGTGAAGAAGCAGCTATGCCACAACAGAGGGTGAACTGTTTTAAAGCTGAATCCATTACTTCCCATTAAGCCAATTTTTCTTAACAGAGCCTTCTTGAGAGTATGTGCCACAAAGAAGACTTCAGAGATAAGACACAATTGGATTTACCCTGCTCTGTGCCCCAACAGCCCCTCCCACACAAGCCCGATGCCCTATCTCAACCTCTCCTCCCATGAACATTTTTCCCTTCTGACGTGGAAGGAAACAGGGAGTCAATTTATCTGTGCTTATCTGAGAGCATCATCACCACATATTTGAGGAAAAGGTCTTCCGCAGGGAATTTCTGTAAAACAGTTCTCTTGTAACTGCAGAAGAGAGCTTATCCACTCTGCACTGTTACCAATATGGCAGCAATACTCTGACCCCAACGCACAGGTGTAAGACAACAGGAACTGTCCCAGACTCCTGGGCCCTTTACAACAGCAGGAAAAGTTTTTTAAAAGTGATTTTTAAATTACAGAAAATATTTAACATACAATCTGATTTATAAAAGTCTAATCCCTAAATTGAAAGGGATCTAAGAATATACGGTATGGACTGTACAGGAAAGAGTTCAGGTAGCAGGCCACTGTTCTCCTCTGAAAGGCCTGCTTCCAAGGTTGGCTCCTGGCTGGCATCTGGGAACGTGGATTTGGGAGGGTTCCCACCATTTCCAGAACTGATAAGAGTGGCTCACCGTGCCCACAATGTTTGAACAAACAATATGGTTTATGTTGAACACCTGCTCTCCTTCTGGGAGTCTAGAATTTGGGTATGTGCAAGGCAGGGGGTGCCTACATGGTCAGCTCCCAATAAAAACTCTGGAAGCTGAGTCTCTAACAAGTTTCTCAGGTTGGTAACGTTTTACATGTGTTGTCACAACTTCTTGCCAGAGGAATTAAGCACGTCCTATGTGACTCCCCTGGGAGAAGACCCTGGAAAGCTTGTGCCTGATTTTTCCTGGACATTCCCCCCTGCACCTTTTCCCTTCACTGGTTTTGCTCTGCATCCTTTCACTGCCACAAATCAGAGCCATGAGCGTGATTATACACTGAGTCCTTGCAAATCACTGAACCTGAGGGTCTTGAGGACCCTCAATCCATGGAATCAAGCTATTATTTTATTTAAATGTATCAATTTTCTGACAAATGATGACCCTATCTCCTAGGGGACCACAATTCAAAACACAACCATCTCACAAGTTCTGAGTGATTAACGTCCTATAGCCCAAGTTCACTGAAAAGAAGGCTATAAGACAGGATGAACAAGCAAAACAAATTAGTTTATAGAGGCTTTTCCTTAAAAGGGAACTTTTTTTAATAACTTTATAAAAGTAATATATGTTTGAAACAATATCTTCTCATTCAGTTCAATTTAACAAATATATTTACTCAGCAAATATGATATCTCAGGTACTGTTCTAGGAGAATCAAAGAGAAATAAGACATAGATCCTGCCTTTAAGAGACTCAGTGACTTTTTCTCTCCTATGGAAGCACTATGGGAAAAGAAAGGTTTAAGAAAACCCTGGGGGCCGGCCCTGTGGCCAAGTGGGTAAGTTCACGTGCTCCACTTCGGTGGCCTGGAGTTTCGCTGGTTCAAATCCTGGGTGCGGACATGGCACTGCTCATCAAGCCATGCTGAGGCGACATCCTACATAGCACAACTAGAAGGACCCACAACTAAAAATACACAACTATGTACCAGGGGGCCTTTGGGAGAAAAAGGAAAAATAAAGTCTTTAAAAAAAAAAATAAGAAGAAAACCCTGAAACTTCTGTGTATGCTAACAAAGTGGTTGGGTTCATCCAATACGCCCATAAACAAGAAAGATGACTCTCAGTTATGATCCAAAAAGCCAAAGATTGAACAGAAAAACAGAAAATGAAAAAAAAAACGGAAACTAAAATATATAGTCTTGAGAAAACAAACACAATTGGGATCTAAGTGAAAATAATCACTAGCTACAGATTCAAAAAATGAAAAAGAACTTGCAAAACCCTAAAAATGTTAATGAGATACTGATTAAATTCCTATTATGTGCCTAGGACTGGGCTTGGCACCTGAGGGATACAAAAGAACTATAAGACAGTCTGAGCCCTTCAAATGCCCACAATAAAACTAGAAAATAAAACACCTGAAAAAAATAAGTGTGCAGCATAAGACTATATATCTACATGTTTAGTTATACGATCCACTGGGTCATATTTAGAAGAATGAAAACAAATAAAGGTGAGATTATGGGCGAATTATTCTTTTTATTTCCTTTTTGTCATTAAATTGTTTTCTATATAATAAAACCCATAAATAAATTGGAAAGTGCAAAATAAGTACTGCAGGATTTCAGCAGAAAACTTTACTCCCTCTCACCTCCACCCCTAAATGGAAATTTGGCAGGAAAAAATTTAACTCCATTTTATCCTGTATTTTCCAGGCTACTATAGCTTTACAGCACTTAGGGACAGGCAGCGTTCCAGGAGAGAGGAACAGGAGCATGAGCAGGAAGATACACGTGAGCAAGCTGCTCAGAGGCAGAGGGGACACACAGGAAAGGGCATCAGCTTGCTGCACTCAGCTATGGAGGTCCCTAACGTCCAGCTGAGGAAGGGACACCTGCACAGGAGGAGAGGGAAATCTCTAAGATTGGGGTTGAAGGGACCAGTGTTCGGGAAACAATTGTAGGCGTCCATCTCTCAGGTGAGGACGTAGAGAAGAGGATGGGAGCAATGAAAACAAACGTAAAAATCCATCAATGCCAACCACATGGAATTCAGTTAATAAAACAAAATAAAAACTCCATTTTTATGGAATGAAAATGAAATTAATTCAACATGTCTTTAATTTCTTGCCAAAGATAGGAGCTTAGGTGCCAATGTTTAGAAGCACATATTAAAGTCTATTACAAGCTGTACGGCCCTTAATTTGAGCCAGGTAAATAGAGCCCAAAGTCTTCACTGAGTCAAAGATTGTACACTGAAATACGTGCAAAGTTAATACACACGAAGAGAAAGATTTTGTTTTCCCCACTTTCTAAGTTCAACTTGGCACTGAAACAGGTTCCCCGGGACTACCCTACTCCCGTCCCGAACACTGTGATTGAAACATCTGAGCACAGCCAGACCGCAAGCAGAGGAGTGAAGGCTGAGTGAGGACCAGGCACAGAGTGCACTGTGCTCCAAGCAGACAGACTGCGGCTCCCACAGGAGGGACGCTTAGTCAGCTGGACACAGAGCAATGCGGCCAATGAGCACATGTCTTTCCAATAAGCAGAGAAAACAGTTGAACACAGAGCCCTCTGAAAGGTCAAATATAAATCATTCAGCCATCGTTATCTGAGCCTGTGGAGGATGACACAGAGAGGAGAAAACCACAGACCATCTGCCCTCCCCTATTAGCGCCAGCCTTAATCAGCTGGGAGATGGAAAGGGGATAGGAAACCCCGTGCCCATAATGGGGGTGGGAGCCCTTCCTGAGAAAGGGCAAGAGTCGTCTGGAAAATGAAATATCAGGTTACACTAAATTGATCTTGGAACATATTTTGTAGATTTTTCAGCAGAGATTGTATCTGGTAAGAGCTTCTACCATAGCATTCTGTCTGTGTACTTGTCCTAGACAAGGCTGGTGAACCCTATAATGGAAGGTAAGCACAATGGAAGGAGTACTTGAAGGAAGTTGCCCTGAGCTGCCCTGGATAGGCAAGAGAAAAATATTGGAGGAGGGGGGTGGCATTCCAAACTGAGAGGGTAGTACACACAAGGGCATGAGGTAGCAAAGGGCATGCAGGGAACTGCAAGGAGCTCTGCTTAGCTAGATGCTGTGGTGGGAAGAAGGCAGGGAGGCTGGGAAGGGGGCAGGTTCTCACATGTCACCAGAGAAAGGAATCTGGACTTTACCTTGCCGGTGATACAGAACTGCTAAGTGTTTAAAGCACAGATGTAAGAAGTTTTAGAAAGATCGCTCTAATGACATCGTAGAGAACGTGGCCTGGAGAAGCATGTGAGTCAACAGCACTGTCATCCTCTTCCAGGCTTGTTCCACAGGACGCAAGGAGCAAGTGGTAATGGGGGTTGAGGGGAAAGGCCTTGAGAAACCCAGGTTTCTGGGCCATTTGGAGGGTGGAGGCTCAAGTAACCAAACTAAGGTAATGGGAAAATGGTGCGAATCCTAGGAATTCAGGTATGAAATAAGAAACCCGTGGCTCAGGTTCTGGTTCTGGTTCTGTCATCACTAACAAGCTGTATAAATTGTTCAACCTCAACCAAATCAATCGGCTTCAAACTGCCTCACATGTAAAACAAGGAGATAATCTCATTTGAGGAAAATTTATTGAGCATAAATTATGCCAAGAATAGCAGAACATGGGGCCTATCTTCAAGTTCAAAAGGAAACATAATAAAACAAGGTGGCAAGTACCATAAAATAGGTTTTAAAAATAACTTCATTTTGGTACAAAAGTAATTAATATATGCTCACTGCAAGAAAACAGCTCTTGAACAATAGAGCAAATTAAAAAGATACTTATCAAATAGTGTAGAAAAATAAAAAGAGCTGATGGGACAATTGATTAGAAAGAGGTTCAAATGAGATAAAGCACAAGAGCTCTTTTAAAAGTATGAAGCATTAAAAAATTCACACAGACTCACCCCTCACTGGAACTCAAGCGAGCGTGTGCGCCCTCACCCATTTCTGTGCCACCCACTCAAGGGGTGGGGGAGGGGCCCCTATAACAAACATCTCCAAGGAGGAGGTTTTTTCCCCAGAAAATTATCCATCAAAAACATTTCCTAAGAAATGGATCCCAACAAAGATGTAAATGCATTTTTTACAGCCTAATAACCCTGTGGGTTTCTGAAAGGCAAATGATGCACATTTTTGGTTATGTTTGTTTGTAGCAAACACTGAGCTATTCATAAAGCAAATGACCACTACATACCTTATTAGAACCTGAGGTTTTCAAGTCTGTCAGAATTTCATTCCAATATCAATATAACATTCAATAAACTATAAGGCTTTAGGAAGAACCAAGCATTGTTAAAAATCTATGACAAACAAGATGAAATGACTGATTAATATCAACCTATTAGGAGAATGGGTAAAGGCCAGGAAGGCAACTTGTGAAATAAATACACATATTTTATGGATAAAATACAAAAATAGATTTGGCTCCACTAATAACCGAAACAAAAAAAAGAAAAAATGCACAACAAAGAACGGCTGAATGTGCAAGAGGACTTGGTTAAATAAATAAGGCACATTCATAGGATAAACCAAAATGCTATTATTTAAATTATATTTTGAAACTGAGTTATAGGGAAAATATGTAAAATATAATCTAAGAGGGAAAAGTAGGATTGAAACACTATAAATTCAATTTGTTAAAAAAAAAGAAAAAAAGAAATAGAGAAACATAAAATAGAAGATAAGCAATAAAGAGTGATTTTCTCTAAGTCGTGACTTGGAGACATCTCTTCAAGAGATGACTTTTTTTACTTTTCTATATTTTTCCAAACTTTCTATAACAATATTTAGTAATTTCAAAAATAAATAGTACTAACCGATGATTCTAAATTTCATGAGGGCAGGGACCATGGCCTGTGTTTGCTCACATGACACAGTGCTTAGCACATTGTACGTCCTCAATAATTATTTATTAAATGGACTGATGTATGAACAAATGAAGGACAGATATAAATATACTCACTTTTAAAATTTTGATATACTTTCAGACTTATAGAAGAGTTGTAAGATTAATACAAAGAAGTCCCAGATACCCTTCGCCCTGATTCCCCAAACATTTTACTACATTTGGTTTATCCTTCTCTCTCAACAGATATTTTCTTAGTAGCTAAAATCAGCTCCTTTAAAAAGGCCTTGAGTCTAGGAAAAAGTAGTAAAAGATCACAGAAAATGCCAGAGATCCTGTCTTGCCCCAAGAGCTCCAGATAGTTCTGGTGCTCTGTCAGACATACATCAGTGTCATACATCATCAAATGGGGGGTTTTGTATTAGTGCATTATAGAAGATTCACACAAACTATGAAATGAAACTATGAAAACTTGACCAAATAACTAATTGGGAGAGTCCTGAGATGAGGATTACAGAGAAAATAAAAACTGAACCAAAGCAAAAAGCCAAAATACAATCATAGAACATACTCTAAGAAGTCCAAATTTTGGAGGTCAAAATAATAAATGCCACTTTTTACTTGAGCCAAATAGAAAGTATCCTCAAGGGAGAGATGGAGAAAGAGAAAAAAGAGAACTGAAGAGCAGAGAAGAGAGAAAAGAGGGAAAAACTAGTTTCTGGGAGTCTGGAAAGAAAAGTGTATATTACAACTTAGCAGCAATGTACCCTTTTTCATTTAAGGTTTCGAAGAAAATGCTTTTCTGAATGTAAATTTTAATTGATTTCCTTTTTTTCCAAGTAAATCCTATCTACCAAAGTGGCAGGTTTCTGCTGTCAGTGTCAGAGAGACACATAACTACATAAGCGAAAGAATTAGTGTCACTGTTAGAACAGTCTCACAGCAAGCTATTAGAGACTCAATTTGAGTCCATACTACTCAAGACATTAAAGCTAAAAAATCCTGGGAAACATCTGTCTTGGACAAAGTAATTAAGAAATTAGTTTACATCCCTTGATAAAGGTTGTTAAAATGTAGATCATTCAAGTATTTTAGGAAATCTTTAGTACATGTTCAAGACTTCAGTAACAAGTTCCAAAAAAACTTAAATTTAAACCAGTTATATTTCACTTTAAATGTTATTATCAGAACTTGATTCCCACAAAGAAAAAAATATCTATCTATCTATACAAAAGGTACTGGTAATTTCTCTAAGTATGACAGAATTATCTTGAGACAAGAGGATGAAACAGACTTTAGGACTAAAACTACTCTGCTAAAACACATTCAGCACTCGCGGTTTCAATTTTCTCAAGTAATAAATCAGTATCATGCCCCAAAGAGGCGCCACATGTCTTCAAAGACTGAAATACAAGGCATTCTAAAAAAAGTATTATGGATGGTGTCAACTGAATAGTGAAAGCTGTTAAAAATAACGCTCCAGCATACCTGATAATTCTTGTTTTACGAACGAGAGCACAGCCAAGTAAACTTGACAGTCGGCTATGATTATCTGCCTCTGGAGCCGGTCAACCATAGAGGGGGCGGATTTTCGGACATCAACCTGTTCAGTGGAAAGAAAGTACACACCAATAAATCACACACAAGAACAATACCCCTTCCAAACAACTGTTACTTTATTGTGCAAAGTGATTTCACACAGGAATGGTGAATCATGGCAGTCACTGAAAGCCATGAAACATGAAAGTCAATACAGAACATCAGAGTTTTACCCTTTTTTAAATGATGTAAATTCCTACTTATTCAAAATAAAAATCACTAATGGTATAAAACATTCCCCCAAGTAGACGACCTGAAAAGCCACTTTGCAGACATCTACCTCCAGGTAGGACTCATTTCTTTGGTGCACACAACTGAGACATGAGGGTCAAAAGCTGGTTACGTTTTAGTTAAGGAGAAAATACTCTGGAATTAAAAATTAGCTCTGAACAAATGAAAAATAGAACTTGAAATTTAAGTCATAACCTCTAAGGTGACTACTTCCATAAAAGAAGCAAAAAGTCCCGCTTTTTATAAAATGTTGGGCTTTATCATAAAGAATTTTCTAAATGAAGAAAAATCACTCAAATAGAATACTGCATTCTTAATACAAAGCAAATTTGAACAAAATAAGATAAATAGCTTTCATATGCTTTTACAACGATATAAGAAATGACAGGATTTCTGCAAATATGACAATAATACACATAGTATACAAGACACAGTGACCTGCTTCCCTTTTTTCTAGATGAGCATAACTCGTCACGGTCACCACTGTTCCACATCTCACTGCAGCACTCATTACTCTCTTTGCTCAGGCAAATGTCAATTTACCCATGCTTCTATTTCTTTGTAATAATGTCTACTGTGCAGGCTTGTTGGAAGGGCTAATGAAATACCGCATGTGAAAAGGTTTTTTAAATTGTAAAGATGTATTAATTATATTACATAAATGATAATTAATTAATTATTAACATACGTGCTAGGCATGGCACTAGATACTGAGGATAGACATGTAAACAAGCTCACAGTCTAAGGAGGGAATACTGACCTTACAACCACATAATACTGTTAGGTGCTCTGGAGGGTAAAGTGCAGAGAACTATGGAAACAAGCAGGAGACATACTCAACAGGGCATGGGAGTTCAGGCAACAGTGTCTGGAGGAAATGACATCTGGCGAGAACCAAAGAATGAGTAGGAACCAGGTCAAGAGGAGGAGAATGTTCTAGGTACTGGAAAAGCAAACGCCAAGTCAGCCATAGTAAGGAGTTTGGACTCTACTGAGATGGTAATGATGGAGGTGGGGACACGGAGAATGAAACTAGCAATATATTATTTGCATTTTAGTGACCGTCTCATGGAGAATGGATTAGAGAACAGTGAGACTGGAGGCAGAAGTGCCAGTGAGGGTTGTCTCAAGCAAGTGGAGATGGTGGCTGACCTAGGGAAACTGCAGAGAGGATGGAGAGAAGCAGATGAATTCCGGGGGTATTTAAGAAAGAGAGTCAACAGGACTTGGTAATTGACTGGATTTAGGGTTTGGAGAGAAAGGAATTGTGGAAAACTCTGGCCCTTCTGGAGCACCAGGAGACGATACTCCTGGCGCACCAGTGGCTTCCTCATGGTGAACACCAAAATTAAACGCAGAGGTAAGACGCCCTGGCCTCAAACGAAGGAGTAGAAGAAAAGACAATGAGGCTTTTGAACACTATAAGCAACAGACAGGTTTGTCAGCTAAATATGTGATATATGCGAGACCCATGGGCATTCCACTCCAGAAATATAAGGGTAGGAAGATGCCACTCCGAATCCTAGAACTTCTGCACTGAAAGGTGAAAGCAAAATCAAGAAGAGTGAATTACAAGGTAATTGTGACTTTATTTGTAACCAAAAGCTGGTGAGGCCTGGGGAAAAGTACGTAAACGCCTGAATTCCCGAATTATGCCAAAATGCAACATATCTGAGTTAGACGCGTACGTGAAAGCCTCATTACAAAAGCCCTTGCCACAGGGCCCATTATGGAAGAAGGTAATTTTAAGATACCAAAAGAACATGCAGTGAATGGCTCTAATGACTGCAGGGAGCTTCTATTGTTTTAAGAAATACATTTTACATAATCAAAAGCCTTAAGAAACATTTAGTGCTTTCAGTTATATCCTAAAAACCAAGTAAATGAGCAATGTTCTCCGTAAGTGGCACACAGTTGACAACCTGGAGACAAAGTACTTACATTCTTCTTAATTTTGTTCTTGATTGTTTCAATTACTCCAGCCTCTTCACTTTCACATAGCTTTTCTGTAGTTTTTAAGTCATCACACGCCAACTGCATTTTTTCTTCCTCAAATGTCATCATGGCATTCTTCCAAGAAAGAAATAAGGAAAGAACAAATGAATCAGTAACTGTTTGAAAATTTAGGCCAACTTATTGCAACAAAACTCCAAACTAGGGGAAAAAAAACCATTTAAGTTATAAGAGTCATACTGAGGAGTCCTAGAAGGCCGAGGTGGTGCTAGCTGAAGGCGATAAGGAAGGGAGAGCTAGATACAGTGAGTTCCTTAGGTCCTTCCAAGAACCCGGTGTCCTATCTCTGCTGGTTGCAAGCTAAAGAACCAGAATGTTACAGCAAACCCTATTCACTTAAAAAAACTATAATCTCAATATAAAATAAGAATCTACTTGTATTACACTGGCATGAAAAACTACATGGTAACAAATGTTCTTACAGTTCCTGTTCTACAGTATTTTTTTTGTTATTAAATACAGTAACAAAAACCCTGTATAATTTCTGCTTGGTCCACTTAATTCAGTTTTTATAACAGAGTCTCTGTGAAAAGTACATTCTACCCACACACGGATCCCTGGCTGCCTCAAGTGCTGCACAAAAACGGCTAACGAAACAACAGCTAGGAGGTGCTCTGAAAATCATCAGTCTTTTCAGGGACAGCAATTCCCATGAGTTCACTTATAAGGAACTCATTTCATACTGTCCACAGTGAAAAATTCCACTGACAGCTTGTTTCCAAGCACCTGATGCTGGTAGATTTTCTTCAGGGCACATTTGACTGGGAGCGGTAAGCTTTCCTCTGCTGAAAACCTGCTATTTCCACCCAGTAGAACTGAGGTTACTGAGATGAACAGGCTACAGGGCAGAGAGGACACCAGGTTCTTGGAAGGACCTAATGACCTCACTGTATCTAGCTCTCCATTCCTTATCACATTCAGCCAGCGCCACCTTGGCATTCTAGGTCTCCTCGGATTTCTGTTCTAGACAAACCAGACCACAGCCACCTGTGCCCAAATCTCCCCTCCACACTCTTCTTCCCAACCAAATCCCAGTCCTGCCAGGGCCTCCTCCCCGCCCCCCCCCCCCCCCCCCCCCCCCCCCCCCCCCCCCCCCCCCCCCCCCCCCCCCCCCCCCCCCCCCCCCCCCGCCCCCAACCCCACTCCCCCCAGCTCCCCAGCCCCCCCCCCACCCCCTGCCAAGCCTGTGCAGTTACGTGGGAACTCATGCTGCCATTCCTACCCAGCACCACTTTGCTTAAGATCAACAACTGTTTTCTTGCAAACAGTAGGCCTTAAAATTTTGTTATATTGCCTGGCAATAAGAGGAAATAAATAGCTTGAATAAAAATCCATGTCACCAGAAGCCAGCTTGCTGCCTATGGGTGCTGCAAGGATGCACATGACATGCCAACATGCCCATTTGCTGACATCTTTCTAAATCTGGAATCTAAATGTTTTCTCCATTTTACCTCTCTCAGATTCTACTCGTGAATTTTTTTTGCTGTTATACAATTCTATGATGGTTTTTTAAAAAACTGTGTGTTTGAAGGTAGTTTATGTGATAAGCGTTTCTGAAAAATAAAAGCAACCAATTTTCTACATTGCCCAATTTACTTTAAAAACTAACTGCAACCTATTCTCTCAATTCCTAAATATTAATATTTGAAAATATAACAGTAACTGAAAAATTTTAGCTTTGCTAATTTAACTTGTCTTCCAGTCCACACTTATTTAATAATTTTAGAGCAAACCTTTATTATCCAAAGTCTGACTTTTTTTTTTTTTAACTCTAATGCAGTTTTAATTTTTGGAAAGGTCGTTCAATTACATTTTTATTTTAAAAAGGATTTTGGTTAGGAAAAACTTAATACTCTAGAAGTAAGGTATGAGCATTTTATTTTGTTTTTTTTTTTTTAAAGTCAAGGCTGACCACAAGGATTTTGTGTGTGTGTGTGTGTGTGAGGAAGATTGGCCCTGAGCTGACACTGCTGCTAATCTTCCTCTTTGTTTTCCTCCCCAAATCTCCCCAAGTACACAGTTGTATATTCTAGTTGTAGGCCCTTCTGGTTGTGCTACACAGGACGCTGCCTCAGCATGCCCTGATGAGCAGTGCCCGTCCAATCATCAGGACATGCCCAGGATCTGAACCTGAGAAACCCTGGGCCACTGAAGCGGAGCGCACGAACTTAACCGTTTGGCCTAGGCTGGCCCCAGCATTTTATTTCAAAATAGGGAAGAGAAGATATCACACAGGTTTGATTAACAGGCAAAAACTTACTTCTAGTTTTAAGCTCTAAAAGTTCTGTATCTATACAGCCAGTAGCCACTAAATCCTATACTTTATACATTTGTTTCCTTCACACCAATACCTCCCCCCACATCAACTTACCAAAAAACTGACAAAGCTGGCTCCAAAACTCATTAACGGGCTATGATTTCTGTTAAGGAAACAAAATAAAATTATTTTTATTGTAAACTGTTATTTTAAAAACAATTGATCCATCAGGATCACCACATAGTCCTAATAATTGGATAAAAGTTAAGGCCTTCAAGCCCATTAAATTACCCTAAAAAAAATTTAAAGAGGCAAGGAGGTTCACAGATCTGTCTGCCAGGATAGATTCTGCCCCTGGTCCTTCAAAGCAAGGCGAACAAGAAAGTCCAATTACAACAGAGACTGCCTCAGTAACCAATCCAACATCCGCACACACGGCCAAAGGAAGATGACTAATACCCATTTTTAAAACGCAAAACGTGTTCAAAACTTTACATACATAAAATATGTATCATTTTTAGAGTAAAGGATTTTACCACTGAGCCAGATCTCAAAAACTCACTTATCCTATCCAAAGAACTTTAAGAACGCCTCCCAAAAGTCAGTCATTCCCCCACCGTAATACATAGTCATTATCCAATTTTACATGTAAGCCAACCAGGAAACCAAACCAAACTAACACAAATTCAATTTAAAGAATATAAACTCTCTGTTTCAAATTCACAACCAGTACAAAATCCAAATCTCTGTAAATTGCACTAAGAGAGAAAGCAAGTTGTAATTGCTTTCTTGAAAAATAATTTTACTGATTTTTTATTACATAAATAATATATCATCATTATAAACACGGCAAGAACAATGTAGTCAGTCCCCTATTGGAAATTTAGTTTGTGTCCAAAGTGAGTGTGCATGTGTTGAGGAGGTGAGGAGTGGGTACGAGTAGAGAGAACATACATATTTATATGTATATATGTATATGTACACACACAAACATACTCAATGCCTGGATGAACATCTTTGTACGTATATCTTTGCAGGCAAGTCCAAATATGTTCTTGGGATAAACTGCTAGAGGTAACATTGCTAAGTCAAATGTATACACATGCCTTTTCCTCTCGTGGGGTGTGTGTGTATGTGTTTGGGGGGGGCAGGGGGAGAATGGAGGATTAGAAACTCAATTTCTTTGGAATGTTAATCTTCTGCTACCGTTTTTTCCCCCATCTACTTGGTACCTACTCAAATTCTACAGTGAATAATAGTTTGCTTACCCCCATTTAACAGGACACTTAAATCTACAAGAAAAAATTAGGAAGGTGAACTCACTGTGAAGATCCCCCACTAGCTCTCACACCCATAGATCCGGCTCAAACAGCACAGCTAACAGCACACTGTGCAGTCTCCAGCATCCTTCCACTCTGCCCCGGGGGGACGTTAGTTCTGCCACTCCACAGCTCTACCTAGAATACCAGTATAGGCTCCCACCGTATTATAATTTGGTTTGCATGTCAGTGTCCCCTCTAAAATGTTATTTTCAGCCTCTTATCCCTCATCATCATGCCTTACACACAAATATGCATCAGTGAAGGATGAACGACACAGAACTCTGCCTTTCGGGACAGACACATTTCCATCGGGTGCTGATTAGTGTTCCCCTTTCCTTGCTTACACATTAGCCACTTTGCCATTTGAGAAATAAAAGAAGCTGAAACTAGGGCCAGTGCTGCTACATTTGCTCCTTGTTCCTGTTCTTGACTAAAATTAGGTTTCTGAGAGCCATGGCTATTAATTATTCATGGTACCCTAGCCTAGCCCTTAGTACTTCACATACCATCTTATCACTGAAGTGAAAAGCCAGCCCAATGGAAACATTCTTCCCTCCTTGAGGACTGTCTCTGTAAACCCCACAGTACTGTGGACATGAGACGCTCCATAATGACCTCGTCCACAAGCGACATCCTCTCAAGTGCTGCACACTACCCGGTGTTCCAAGAGCTTAACTGAACAACGTTCACTTGTTTAGTCCATTTGATTTTTTAACTTGACATACTTCAAGTGATCCTACATTAATTTACCTCATCTTCATCAGTTTTGGCCCACACGTGTTTCTACATAAAACTTATTCATTTTGGAGACAGGGAAATGTTCCCAAAGAGTACAAGGATCATTGCTTCAAAACTGATGCTAAGGGAGGAGAAGGAAGAGGCTCCTAGCTCACTTCAACATGCTCATCATAGGAACGAGTAAACAAAGACCCAAACACGAGGGGAGTGAGGGTGTTATGCAAAGGTTGAGTGTAAAGGTAAGCATCAGAACCAAAATACAAACCTTTCTAAATACCAGAGCCCAAGAAAGGAGGAGGGGGCAAGTGAAATAGACCACGTAGTGAAAATGCCACGTAATCAAAAGAAGGGAGCATATACACATATTCAGTGATATTGAAAAAAACAATGGCAGGATAACCCATAAAGTTTTGTAAAACATGGATACCTACAAAAACAGGGATAGAGAAACAAGGATAGAAATGAAGCTTCTTTGTATGTACTTTGTTGTGTTGATTTGACTTTGGAACCATGTAAATGTTGTACATCACAATAACACCAAATTAAATTTTAATAACGCAACCCCTAAAAATAAAAACTAAAATGAGTTACATGTACTTAAATGCAAATCCAGTTGGTACCATAACCACACAGAGTAGAACTGTTCCAAGCGACTTTAAAACACAGTAATGTGACGGCACATCTCTATTATGAAACATCCTTAAAAACAGACCCCAAAAGATGGCAAAAAACATTTAATTTCTTTTCAGTAATCATATTTCTACCAGTCAAGTTGTAATTGTTATTCTAAGGCTGCTGGATAGGTAGTCTGTGATAAAGCAATGTGTAGGTATGTTGGTGTTTGTTGAGACACAGGATTTTGTGCATAGAAAAAAAAAAACAAAGTTAATTAAAAATCTTAGATTCCAGAATACAAACAGGAAAAGCTATGCAAACTCATTGGATTTTTTATCTTAAGAAAAAAAAAAATACATCTTTTCTAGCTCTGTCTACTGGAAAAGACTAGAAACAACGACCACTCAGTGGCATTACGCATGCCTGGCACCCTCTCTAAATACACTGTGTAAAAGAGACCACCACTCCTTGAAGAAATGGTTGATTCCAGGTCAGAGTCAAGAAATGTTCAAGAGCCTGGAATTTCTTGTTACCGCAGAAAGCAAAGAAGTCATAAAAAATACACTAGGGCCTTGAAGAGGTTCCCACTTGCCAAACATGGAACAATTTGATCATCAATAAGGATAAAAAACGGCAATGGATTGAAATACCAAATAAGTTTAAACCGTAAGTTCATAATGATACTTTTAATTAAAAAAAGAAAAAACAACTTCACTGGTTGCCTATGGAGAATCCTAGAGAACCAACTCATTATTTTGAAAACTGATAAAAAAAGGGAAAGAATAAGCATTTATCCTGCTGTTTCTCTATGGACTCAGACTAATTAGTTGGGAGAAGGGTTCTCTTTACAAAAATACCCTAGGCTAAAAAATAAAATGCAGGGGGTGGGCCCAGTGGTGTAGTGGTCAAGTTTGCAGGCTCTGCTTTGGCAGCCTGGGGTTCACAAGTTCAGATCCTGGACATGGACCTACACACCACTCATCAAGCCATGCTGTGGCAGTGTCCCACATACAAAAAAATAGAGGAAGACTTGCATAGATATTAGCTCAATGACAATCTTCCTCAAGCAAAAAGAGGAAGATTGGCAAGAGATGTTAACTCAGGGCCAATCTCCCTCACCAAAAAAAAGAAAAAAGAAAAAGAAAATGATAGAATCAGAGCCTCTCATTTTTCAGATCTAATGAATTAATGTATATGGGCAGTGATCATAAAGACAAGGGAACATATTAAACACCATGTTGATACAATCAGCAAAATCCAAGCTGTGGGAAATTCTACAAGACAAAATAGATCCTAGATTCTTCAACAACAATACAACAGTATACAGGGAATAAAGAGATTGAAAGGGAATCTCTAAAATAAAAGGAATATAAAACAACAGACAAATAAAGACACATATAAGAGATACATAAAACAGCAAATATATATACATACACATATACACACACATATACATAAATACCTACGTACACACAGTAGCAACAATTAGAAAATGAAACTTAAAGATTATCATTCACAATAGCACCAAAATATTAATTATCTAAAGATAAATCTAACAAAAATGTGCAATGTCCCTACACTGAAAACTCGAAACATTACTAAGAAAAATTAAAGACTTAAATCAGGGTTTCTCAACAGTGGCATTCTTAACATCTTGGGCTGGATAATTCTTTGTCGTGGGGGCTGCCCTATGTGTTATAGGACATCGAGCAGCATCCCTGTCCTCCACCTGTAAGATGCCAATAGTACACAGCCACCCACCAGAGATGTGAAACCCCAAATGTCTCCAGACATTGTCAAAGGTCCTCTGGGGGTAAAATCGACCCTGGTTGTGAACCACCAACCTAAATAAAGAGAATCACAATTCCTACGGATTGGAAGGCTCAACATGGCTAAGATGCTAATTTCTCTTAAACTGAACTACAGCTTCAATGCAATCAATCTCAAGCAAAATCCACGGGGTGTGTGAGTGTGAGTATGAGTGAGTGTGTGAGTTTGTGTGTGTGTTTGTGTGTTTTGAAAAGTTGATTATAAAATTTATATGTAATAACAAAATAATTAGAATGTTCAAATCAAATTTAAAGAACAACAACAAATCTGGAGATCTACATTACCCAACAACAAAACTTAATGAAAATTAAGAATTTCTGTTTACTCTTAGGAGATTGAAAAACGCAAATCAGAAACCAGGAGGAGATATTCGCAATACACATATCCAACAACAAGCCCATCTTCAGAATATATAAAGAACTCCTGTGAATCGGTAAAAGTGACTGACAACTCAGCAGAAAATGAGCAAAAGTCTTAAATAGGCACTTCACAAAAGAGGATATCCAGAAGTCAATAAGAATATTAAAAAGTGCTGAAAAGCATTCGTTGTCAGGGAAATACAAATTAAAACCACAATGAGATACCACTACACTCTCATCTGATTGGCCATACTTACATGCACTGACAATACCAGAGTTAGTGAGGATATGAAGCAAGT